TTTCTTCATAATTTAGTGTTTCATTATTAATCACTAATAAGTATTTTTGAGTGATTAACATAGATCAGTGGTTCCTAACCTTTTCCAACTCGCGGCCCACACAACCATACATTTCTGTGGTCCACAATATATGCAAAAATGTTTAGTCAGTAACTGTAGGCTTTAAAGGGTTATTTCAGAAAGCTTTTGGATTTAATCAAAATTATCTTAATTTGTGTTCTGAAGATGAACGAAGGTCTTACAGGTGTGGAACGACATGAGGGTGAATAATTAATGACAGAATTTTCATTTTTGGGTGAACTATCCCTTTAACAGATAAACATGGAGGGTAAATAGTTATCAGAGAGTCCCTGTAAAAGATAAATACAGATGCTTCTTCATTTACAAGTAAGGATAAATCTTCAGCAATGCCTGAAATGTAAAAGATTAAAAATCAAGCTAAACAAAGAAAATACAGTAGTGACTACCTAGCGCTAGTCTTCACATGTGTGTGATTGAATCTGTGTTGCTTAAATTAACTGTTTTTAAACTGAGGGCACTTTTCAGGCAGGTAAACACATATGTTGGTTGGCCACAGAAACATATGTGTTTGGTTGTGTGGGCCGTGAGTTGGAAAAGGCTGGGAACCACTGGACTAGACATTTTTGCTTATATGAACAAAATTCTTATTTTTATTTATAATAATTAGTGGCCCCCTGCTATACCGTTGTGACCCAGTGGAGGGCTGCGGCCCACAGCTTGAAAACTTCTGACATAGATCTTCTTGTTCCCAACAGGATGAAAGCTACTACTTGCGCTCACTTGGAGAAGATGCTCGTAAGGTAGCCTAAATTACTTTTAGTAATGAATATCATACCTGTTTGGGACTGTAGAGTTTAATTTGAATATAGGCTGCAATGTGTCAGCATATTCACTGTAGAATGCCTGGAATATATTTTCCACATATATTTATATGGATTCCGTCCTCTTTCAGGAACCAGCTGATTTAAGGAAGCAGTTCCCTGAGCTGGCAGAGGATTTCCATATACCCCAGTTCTTTGAGCCAGAGCAGTTTTTCTCCAGTGTCTTTCGCATCAGTTCCCCTGGTCTGCAGCTGTGGACACACTACGATGTGAGTTCTCCATGCCTATAGGTGACACTGATCCAATTGTTTTTTGTTTTGTTTTGCAGACAAGCTAATGAAATGTTGATCACTTGAATGTGTTTGTTTAGGCAATGTCTCTTTACACTAAGTATAAATATCCAAGCTTGTTAACAGTGGTTTTTATTTACACTAACTCTGCTCATCATTGCTCAGTTTACCCAAACCACAAATAGCAACTGCAAATTGCTATTTGTGCAAATCGCGGTGATTTTTTTTTTTACATGTTTGAAAAGAGGTTCTTATGTTCACTAATGCTGCATATATTTGTAGAACAGTAGTGCATCCTCTAATATACATAGTTTCAATGCTGTATTCAAAGCATGTAACAGGGGAACCCACTCCATCTTTCTACCAAGGCATCCTTGGTCCAAAAAAAGTTGAAGACCTCTGATTGATATATAACAGGAATGCCACATCATGTTTTTTTTAACCAATCTTGTTATTTTAATGTTTACCATCAGATAATGGACAACCTTCTGGCTCAAGTTACAGGAAGAAAGCGTGTTGTTCTGTACAGCCCTAAAGATGCCCTTTATCTCTACCTCACAGGTAGTACTTAACAAAATGACTGTCAATATATGCATTATATACATAGCACATACATAATAGTAAACAAACTGTGTAAAATTTCATCTGAATGTTATTTTGCTAATTTACTGTAACTTTAATTGTGACATTATTTTTTAGGGGACAAGTCTGAAGTTTTGGACATTGACACAACTGATCTGCAGCTTTATCCTGAGTTTGTGAAAGCAAGTCGCTACGAGTGTATTCTGGAACCAGGAGAC